AAAAAGGTAAAGATACAATTATGACCACAAACATGCATCTATCAACAAGTGGAATCTAGATCAAGTGAATAAATACCTGATGTACAGAATGAACTGGTGATTATAATAGAATCAGGGACATAGAAAGGGAATGGACTGACTGTTCTTGGGGGGGAAAGGGGTGTGGGAGATGCGGGAAGAGACTGGACAATAATCGTGCACCTATGGATGAGGACAGTGGGTGGGGAGTGAGGGCAGAGGGTGGGGCGGGAACTGAGAGGAGGGGAGTTATGGGGGGGAAAAAGAGGAACAAATGTAATAATCTGAACAATAAAGATTTAATTTAAAAAAAATTATTTATCAGCATAATAATATTGTGTATTATATATTTTCATTAGAAAACAAAAAATGGCCCCCCCAAAATGCATGATCCTTCTGTATCAATCTGTAGCTACTACAAAATGTATCTCTGTGACTGGTTCCAGATTATAAATATATTAGAATGTCTTTAACAGTGCAGAAATCATAACCATGTGTTAATAAAACTAAATAAAAATCCCCAGTAAAACACCATTTAATTCCAGGATAAACAATTTCACACTAGCTTTATAATGTTCAAAGTAATAAAAGAACACTCTCCAACTGATATGTAATCGAGGTTTCATCTCTTTCCAAGGAATACTCTAGTTTATCATTTCTTCCTTCAAGATACCCTCATTCAGCACTGCCATTTGCCCATGAAACCTCTTTTAAAATAGACCAAAACCTAATATATAAGCTGTTTAATCATTATATAAAATAATTTGGGGTAATTAAACTTCATCACAGTACAGATAAACATTTTTTATTCCTACTTTCTACCAGCTCATTAATGGCAATACCATAATCAACACAAACTTTAATAATTTCCTCCTGGCAAACAATAAAGCACAGGAGAGACTTTTTCATATGAATCCCTAATGCATAAAACAGATTAACTCAATATGAGAATTTTAAATCACTAACACCATTAGGTTACTTAAAAAAACCAAACACACATCCCCTCTGTGCACATTTTTCTAACTCTGAAAGATATACTTTGGAGTTCCTTAAGTTACTTTCATGACCCATTCCAAAGGCCAGCACTTGCTCCACCGGGAAACTCTACTTTAGGCTGGATTACATCTGTGTGTTTTGGCTTGAATTCAAGACTTAGATAGTTAAGGATTAGTTCATGTGTCAAGAAACTCTAAGATAAAGAGTTAGTGACAGTTCTATAAAGGCTCTTAGAAGCAAACTCATCTGTTCGCTTTACCCCTTCTGCCATTCCACTCCATGAAGAAGGGTCATTTCAACATCAGCATAACCTATTATTCTATAGTGATTCTAGACTCTTATTCATCTATTCACCACGGGTGACACCATTGTATTTATATACATATATG